TTAAAACACGTTTATTTCGTCTACTGACCTGCGTCCTCGAGAGCGAAGTAAATACTGTTTAAAATAAACGAGACGTCTACTCAAATATGAGTATCCACTAGAAGTAATGTTTGAAGTAATACAACTACACCAGATTAAAAAAAATCAAATCCATTAATTCTTTAGAAATTGTTTTGTTTACGTCTCGGATACGAAATCGAGTAGACATCTTTTAATCGATAAATAATTCCTGCTTGTTTGCCATTTCCAGCTTCCTAATTTTTTTCTTATTCTTTTTTTTTCAATTTCCTGCTAAAAGAATACTTTCTAGATTTTCGTAATGTCTGCAGACAAACATGAAAACTTCGCTAAAATCAGTTCCAGTTTTATATTACTTATTTGTTAAAAAGTTGTAAATTCATATCGTCATATCTTTAAAAAAAATATTCATATATTTAATAAAATAACAATGCAAAGAAAATAAACACGAGGGGGCGCTGAAAAGTTCTCCAACGAACCATTCTTGAGGCGGCTGCTTTCCTGGAACCTCTATTGCGACTCAGGCTCACATCTGACCTCAATTGCAACTGGTATACGCTATCCACTGCTAAAGACGCTAGAAAAATGTCCGACTCTCTGTATTGATCTAGAAAGTATCTGACCCTTCCATGCTTTATCTCTATCATACCAGCTCAGACCAAAAATAGTTTATGGCTGCCACATCTGGACCGCTGTTTTTTACTTCTCACTTTTCCGCCACGGTCGATTTCAAAAGCGTTTGTGCGGCCTTGTGGGTGATGAACTTTTTCCCCGCCTTCAACACTTGCTTACAGACGAAACTTTGCTAGCCTTGCGCTACTCTACCGCTCTTTTCATGACAGATGTTGGGGCTAACTACATTCTTTGGCTCCCCCAGTCGATACCCTCACCGCTAGGAGCCGCTAGAGTCAACTCATTCCCCTTCATATTCCATTGCTGAGAAGAAAGTTCCACTCAGACAGCTTTTCCCCAGAATTGTTTCAATGTGGAACCGAATGCTTTCATGATTTTAACCTCTTCAACTCCAGGGTTAACCGTTATCTAGCCTACCTATCCTCATAATATGAAACCCTTATTCCCTCTTTATATATAAATTTACATGTATTATGAAATGGATTAAGTACGACATTTATTTCAGTATTTTGTTAGAAAATATGTGCTTCTCTGTCAGGAATCGAACCTGTAACCCTAATGGGTACTATCATTTGATCTGACGTGCTGTTAACCATTCAATCACAAAGAAGGGTCTGTTTATAAGCATACAGCTTCGACAATTTTTTTCGATCGATCATATCTGCTCACAAAACGTATCTTAACGTAAACATTGACAACATATTAGAAATTATATCTATAAAAATAACGTATAACCGGAAAACAGAAAAATACCCATGAAATTAAAAAAATATGGAATTTTGGTTTAGCATCTCAAAGAAGATTAGCGATAGTCTTTTCCTTTAAAAGGATCTATAAAGAACCGCCTAAAGTTTTTCATAATGATAATTTAAATCCCTTGAAGAAGACAAAAGAGAAGGATTATCGACTCCTTTAAAGATTAAGGAATTTAGCATCCAGTTTAAAATCTCAAATGACAAATTTCTTTAAAAGAAACGAGGCATCTGTTTAAATATGGGTATCTACTAAAAAATAGCATTTGAAGTTTATATATATATATATATATATATATATATATATATATATATATATATATAAGGTTGGTACACATGGAATAAAATTCCGATAACCAAAAACACTATTCGTAAAAAGAGTGCTCAATATTGAGTAGTGCAAATAATATTTATTTAAAATTATAACATATGCATATTATAACATCACTATAAATATTGCAATTTTGTTTCAATGCTACTGGAGTCAACACCCTCACTTGATAGGACACCAGTAGTGTTGAAACAAAATTGCAATTTTTGTAGTGATATCATAATTTGCATATGTTATATATATATATATATATATATATATATATATATATATATCGAGAGAGAGAGAGAGAGAGAGAGAGAGAGAGAGAGAGTATTGAGGCAGCAAATCTTTGTTCAAACATATATTGTTAAATATAATAGGCAATGAATGTCTATTATGTTTGATCATGAGCCTTTCCAAGCGTCGTATAATGGCTTTAGTTTCAAGAGAAAAAAAAAGAAGACAAAAACTGTCCAACATTTGGATATTTATTTATTATATTGGTCGTCGATCTAAGCTTTCGGCTCACATGAGCCATCATCAGGGTGATTATATGAACATTACAACAGAGATGTTCAGCGTCAAAGATGATATCCTGTTTTGTTTACATGTTTGCTATACGACGATAACCGTCGCGGAATAGCAGACGAAGGTCGTAAATTCCTAATGCGGTTCTATGAAATCATACATGACCACGTGAGAGAAAGAAATGTTATCAACAGAACCATATGTTTAAATGCATTGTAATATGTTGCGACTGGTTTGAAATGTAATTTTGTTAAGTGTGAGTTGCTTTTTTTTAAATGTAGATGGCATTTAATATCTGAAGGTTCTTTTTACTATGTGTATGTATGAATATTGGTGTGCTATCAACTAATATCTAATATTATGTACATGGCTATGTTTTTCTAAGAAATTGTATTTAATAGAACTAAGATCAGAAAGGTCACAGGTAAGTCTACGGGAGAGCGTGGTTGTAGTAAAACCAATATATGTAGTGGGTTATATTATTAACATCAGAGATACGATCTCTGAACGGGCATGCAAATTGATACACTGCATTGTGTTTTGTAGATGATTTAGTTGAGTGGTTGTAGATGGTGAATATGACGTCAGTTGTTTAAATTTTTTTATAATATATGATGAGCTTAAGTTGTTTATTATTATTAATGGGTTTAATATTACTACCTATATATATATATATATATATATATATATATATATATATATATATATGTATGTAGCGAATTGCCTTAACTCCCTTCGTATTCCTTTGCTTAAATGTAAGCGCCATTCTTCCCACGTACTGCTAACGTACTGAATTAACTCCCAAGAGGGTGTTTTCCCGATCACTACATTCTTAACCTTTTCAAGTTTAGGGTTAACCGTTATCTTTCACACATATCTACAATAGCCGTGCATCTTAATCTGTAACCCTCTACCTCGAATGGCACTCGGGCCTTGTACAGAGTGAATTATAAAAAAGTACTAGGTTGACAGCTAGATCTCATAATTTCCCTGATAAAATTGCTAGTTTTAGCCATAGCTACTCCCTTCTGATACTCCCTTCTGATACTCCCTTCCGACGTCCTACTTTCCTGACAATTACGATCTTCAAAAAGTAAAATGCAACATCAATTGTCATCTTCTGTCTCCTTGAATATTGCTATCCTCTTTTTTCATGCCCATATATAGGGATATCTTGTCACGTGATATCTAGGCTAATTATTATTTTTTAGTCCTGCTCAGTTATTGCTCGCCTTGTAGGTTAACCGGGTCGATATATTGAGGGAATTCCGAACTGAACCCTTTATTTAATTCACGGTGGGTAGATTGTTCTCATTCCAATGTCCATCTCTAGGGATATCTCGTTTAGTTCTTATTTTTAGTATAGCTCTGGTGTTGCTTGCCCCGCCTCCACTGAGTCCATGTACACACTGCCCGGACCAAGAATTGAACTCACAGTTACTATAAGACCAAATTATTGACGAAAGAACATTTTAATCCAGTAGGCTTTTGTCTCTTGGGATAATTTGCTGGTAAAAATTTTTTTCCAAAAATGTATTGCTGGTAGTAAAACATATTCTTACACTTTCATAGTGTTTGACCCCATTTTGGGGGTTAAATATTTGCCTATAGTTGGGACCCTAACAGGTGCTACCAGCCCTGGTCTGAGTGGACCTGCGAACAGCAGCAATTAAGAAAACCTCCTGATCAGAGGCCTTCCTCTTGGATGTTGTTTATCGTCTTACCAGGACGCAGACGTAGTTTGTCGTTATATCCAGGAGGGCCCTAACAGGTGCTACCACCCCGGGTCAGGGTGGATCTAGGAACAGCAGCAATTAAGAGGTTGTTCCACACCCTTCAGAACCTTCTGATTAGAGGCCTTCCTGTTGGACGTAGTTTATCGTCTTACCAGGACGCGGATGTAGTTTATCGCCATACCCAGGACGGCCCTAACTGCTGCCACCACCCCGGGTCAGGGTGGACCTAATAACAGCAGCAATTAAGAGGTTGTTCCACACGCTTCAGAACCTCCTGATCAAAGCCTTCCTGTTGCACGTAGTTTATCGATCTTACTAGAACGAAGATGTAGTTTATCGTCTTACCAGGACGCGGGTGTAGTTTATCGTCATACCCAGGGCGTCCCTAATAGGTGCTACCACCCGGGTCAGGGTGGACCTAGGCACAGCAGCAATTAAGAAGTTGTTCCACACGCTTCAGAACATCCTGTCAAAGCCTTCCTGTTGGACGTAGTTTATCGATCTTACTAGAACGAAGATGTAGTTTATCGTCATACCCAGGACGCGGATGTAGTTTATCGTCTTACCCAGGACGCGGTTGTAATTTCTTGTCATACTTAAGTCGGTAACAATAGCGATGTGTATAATACTCCGAATACAAATTTCATTCTCTTTCGTTATCTTACTCTCTTATTTTGTCCTCTCCTTCTAGATATCTTCCAAGGTGTCTCTCTTTGATTTATTCTTCCTTCGCAAGCTTCATTGTTTCTTAATCATTTTTTCTTTTGCTTTTAATACAATGTCACGTTTTTTCCCTCCTTCTCCTTGACTGCCATTTTGAATTTCATCCTCTTCAACTCAACTTTCTTCTTTCTCTCCATTTCCGACAAACTCCCACACCCAAGCTCTCTCTCTCTCTCGTCTTACCATTTGGTTCAATCTTGTTCACTTCATTCGTAAACGTTTCACCTGCCTTTCACTCGACCTGTCTCTGTTGGTTGATGGCATTCGTCGGCCTCTTTTACTCCTCTTCCGCTTCAGAAATTACTCCCATTTTCTCGGGCGCAAATATCTAAGAATGTTCCTCTTAACACATTAACCCCGTTAGTCTGCTTGACTTCCCGCAACAGCAGGATTGTTCGCTGCTGTACATCGTTCTTTCGGACTTGGCCCCCCCGCGCACCTGACCTTATCTGTCTGCTTTACCTGTTCACTTTCTGACAGGTGTTTCGTACACAGACCGCCATTTTCTTTTTGGTTTACTCAAGTCTTTCGCTGGATGTTCTTTAATCTTTTGACCACATTTTTTTTTAGATTCTTTTCACTTTTAGGCATCATTGTCTCCCATTTTCTGAAGAGGAACCCTTTCTATTTTTAGGTCAGTCGTTTATTCTCTTTGCTCGGGGTTTCTTTCTTTCATTTCTACCTCTTATTCTCCACTTATTCCTCTTTCTCGTCATTTCTTTTTTTCTTTCTTTCCTTCCTTCCGTTCTTTCTTTCTTTTTGTTCCTCTACTATTATCCATCATTTATTCTTCATTCGCAGCATTTCCTTTTCTTTCTTTCTTTCTTTCTTTCTTTCTTTCTTTCTTTCTTACATTTTGCTATTCTGTTTCTTATTTTTAATTCTCAGTATTTCATTTATTCATTCACTCATTCATTGTCCCTTTCTTTCTTTTTTTCTTTCTTTCTTTCTTTCTTTCTTTCTTTCTTTGCATTGCTCTACATCTTATTCTTCACGTAGTTCTCATTCACTATTTACCTTTCATTCAGTCACTCATTCAATCTTTCTTTCTTTTTTGCCTGCATTGTATTCTTCTTTCTTTCTTTCTTTCTTTCTTTCTTTTGTCTGCCTTGTATTCTTTTTTTTTCTTCCTCTCAACTTTTACTTCTTTTTCTTTCTTTCTTTCTTTCTTTCTTTCGTCTGCTTTGTATTATTTTTTTTTTTCTTCCTCTCAACACTTATTTAGCTTCTTTCTTTCTTTCTTTCTTTCTTTCTTTCTTTCGTCTGCTTTGTATTATTTTTCTTTCTTCCTCTCAACACTTACTTAGCTTCTTTCTTTCTTTCTTTCTTTCTTTCTTTCGTCTGCTTTGTATTATTTTTCTTTCTTCCTCTCAACACTTACTTAGCTTCTTTCTTTCTTTCTTTCTTTCTTTCGTCTGCTTTGTATTATTTTTCTTTCTTCCTCTCAACACTTACTTAGCTTCTTTCTTTCTTTCTTTCTTTCTTTCGTCTGCTTTGTATTATTTTTCTTTCTTCCTCTCAACACTTACTTAGCTTCTTCCTTTCTTTCTTTCTTTCTACTATTCACTCAATTCACTTTGTTCCCCGTCGTCTCTCTTTGTATGACTTTCCTTTTCTCCTCTCTTTTTCTTTCTCTCTAATCTTCTACGTCCTTCATACCCTTTCTTTGATGATTCATACACATCGGCCGCTTAAATGACTTCTTTCCGACAGAAATCCGACAGGAGATTTTCACGATAGCATCGATGTAAAATCTCCGTAACCAAACAATTCAACATTCCCCAGAAAGAATTTCCCGCCAAAAGGTTGCCGAGTTAGCTGAATGTAGCCATCATGTCGGCCGCTTAGGATCGCTCTTAACAAACTACATTTGTGCTTTCATTATTTTCCTCCCAGTTAGTATACAGTTATATTAACCATTCATTTGATTTGTATTTTTATCTCTTTTTTGTTTTTTGGCATACAGCTCAAAATCCTTTGGATGATACAGAAATTGATCTTGAAACTAAGTTGAAAGAATTCAAAAGAATTTTCTGGAAATATATTCAAACTAGCAACTTATTCTTCAAAAGACTGATGAAGATCTAATATATTGTGAAAAACATTGAAAACCACTCCCTCTTTGACTATTATAAATTTCATAGTAATAAAGCAGAAGGAGAATAATACCATGGTCAACAAATTAGTTTTGTGTTGTATCAAAATTGATTTTTAGCGCCAGGCCGGCACCCTACAGAACGCAGCTGCAAATGACGTCACGAAGTCCGAACCAATATCTACTACAACACAAAGATATTTAGTTGTTTCAATTTTAATATATACTAAAGTATATATACTATATATTACTATATTGTATATATTGTAGAACAGATATATTGACCTTGACTTCTAAAAAATACGTATGCTCTTGGCATGTTGAATGATCTTAAAATCCTAAGTCGGTACATTGTTAGCAAAAGGTTGCAGTCGCCTGGCTTATACTATAACGGCGAATTCAAGATGGCCAATTATTTGGGGCAAAAATTCAACCCTTACAAGACACGTTTGTCACAAAAAGTAGAGGGTTACTGCTAAAATGACTATGAAGAATGAAGTGTGATATGATTGAAAAAAGGGTGTCATAGGAAGTGAACTTCATGAGAATAGATAACGATTGACCTTTGACTTGAAGAGTTTAATATTGTAGTGTTCAGGTAAGCATATACGCGGGGCCTGTTCCACAATGTATCAGTGCTTGTGAAAGAACCGAGTGAATCTTTTTCCTTACATTTGGAATACGGGGGAAATGAGGTTAATTCGAGTCCGCGGAAGTAACATAGTGTGTTTTCGCTGTAAAGATCTCTATTTGCGTTCCCGGGTGGCATAAAATAACAGCGAACTAGAATTGTGATTCCAGTTTATTAAATGTTGTTCAGAAAGTCTTGCGTGTTTCTCTCAGGTTTTCGACGGCCTCCAGAACGAGTCTTTGTTTGTTTAGCGGCACATCAACTACTTAGGGGGTCATTTAATGCCGAAATTTGATTTTCTTGGGTGCGTAAGTAATATACTGCTGGTAATTTTTTACCATAAAATTTATTGCTGGTATTTTTACTATAAAAACGTATTTTTATACTTTCTAAGTATTTTGACCCTATTTTTTTTTTTGGGGGGGGGGTCTCTATTTGCACATACTTGGCACCCTAACAGGTGATACCAACCCGGGTCTTGGTAGCCTTGGGTGCAGTAACAGTTAAGAGATGGTCCCATGCTCCTCAAAACCTCCTACCTCACGATCAGTGGCTTTCTTGCCGGATGTAGTTTATCGTCATCCTTAGAACTACATCCATAACGAGGCTCCGGTGTAAATATTACAACACACAAACTCGATACTTAAAACTCGCAATTATTTTCCTCTTCCAATGTACTCTGCTATCTAAATTTTTCCATATTACACTTTTTCTTAGAATAGGTTTTCAGGGAAATCAGTTTCTGAAGTTCAGTTTAGAAACTAGTAAATAACTGAAATGTATAGACTTTCTTGGTAAGTTAATATGCAACTGGTGTCTAAAGATTCTTTATATAAAGTCTTAATAACAATAACCAATCAATGTCAAATGTCAAAAATACCAACCAAATAGCAAATACATCTGTACAAGTTGTTACGAAATACTACGAGGAGATTAATACAAAATTATATTAAATCCATCTTAATCTTACTAAGAGAAAGATAAGCCATATATGATGCAACACAGCGATGAGTTTTGACCAAAAGTAAATGGATCATGTAATTAATGTAAATTTTTACAATCAGATATAAATTCAAGATAAAAGAGAGACGATGAGAAAAAGAAATATGAAGAAACATAAAGTCACACACACACACAAACACATAGATACACACACACAGATACACAGACATACACACAGACACACATATACTAGTTTAATAGCATAGGTATCGGACGGCATTTAAGCTATCTCCTGTACATAGCTCTTGATTGGGCCTTCATCACAATAGGTAGGGAAAAGATGCGATAGGCAACAATAAACTGCAGAATAACTCAAAATTGACTGCTGCATTTAAGTATTACATTATAATCTAACCTTACCTTTTTAAAAGTTCAGCCATAATTCTCCTGTCACCACTTAATTTAAAAACAATTTGATGTACGTAGGTCCTTACTTTACGTAAAACTATTATTTTTATTTCATGGGTGACTTTCGCTGGATTTCGCAATTAATTTCGATATTCCCAAATTTATTTCCAAGTTATAAAAATTGTTATCGTACAAAAAAAAAAAAAAAAATGCGTCGCAAAAAATCACGTAAAATAAGCACTGAAAACAATCGCAGTAATGAAAACTTGGGAATCCAAAATTTCAGGATTGGGGGTCTGGATCTGAACCAGAATGTTTTTAATTTACTCACGGAGTCAGCCTGATTCCAAAATAGTATGATATATTGGGATACGTCCTCTAGGAGTAAAGTTGAAAAAGTGTGACACAATGAAACACTGACATTAATTTAATATTGTTGAGAGGTTCACCCCTTTTTACACAAATGGACTCACCCAGCATATACATATACTACTGCTACGTGAAGACCCGATAGACAAGAAGAAGAGGAGTGAAAGGTTGTAGGTAACCGGAAGAGTAAGGTGAAGGTAACAGACAGACAGACAGAACGAACGTAGCCAGCAAGAGTCACAAGTGAGCGAGCACGTAGACTCAGTAAGAAGTCATACAGCGATACTTCAATACCAAAGACTGTATAGATATTTTGCTACTAACCCGTATTCCTGGAACTACTAACCTGCTTTACCAGTTTGTATTATTACGTTAATACATTATTTTCCTATATTCCATTCTTGGCGTTTGTTATTTATTGGTATCGGATTTCATCCCGGAATCCACAACAATTATCTCAAAGCACACATACGCATACATACACTCACATATATATATATATATATATATATATATATATATCGTATACACGGGTTTGTCGTTACTTTGAAATTTTTCATGCCGCAAGGGCGGACTATGATTGTTTTTTCGTCCGTGTGTTGTTTGATTTATTGAAATTGTCATCTTTGATAATGGCTTATGTAAGTGGAAAGCTTAGATCGGATTTAAACATGTATCAATATGGTGTTTTCCTTTCGTCTTCCAATGATAATGTGATTAAGCTTATCGGACAATATGAAAGGAACTTACTCAAAAAAGGGGCTGTGGTGAAATAATTTATTACATGGAATCTTAAAGTGGTCTGTTTTTTATTCAAATTCATTTGCTCTGAATTTACATTGAGCTCTCTGGATATCATCCTCCTTGGGTCTACCCATACGGATTACCTAGTTTTGCATAAACTATATATATATATATATATATATATTGGCGTAGACCGTTGAGATAAAAAAAAATAGATACTGGCAAAATGTTTGGCATTACGCAAAAATCTTATTTAAGAACTCATTACCGACTGGTAATAACATGGAAGAAAAAAAAATAATAATTAGAAGAACAAACAAAGGAAGAAAAGAAGAAAAAAAAAAAAAAAAAAAAAACACCAAAATTATACGAAGTGTTTTATATGAGTTGATTCCCATGAAACTTTTCACTGGGTCTTTGCCAGATTCTTTCAAATACAAAGACTGAAAAGAAAAAGAAAGGTAAACAAAATAAATAAATAAATAAATAAAACTGTTAGCAAAAGAGAAATGTTATTGATTATCCAAAGCGTTCTGCCTTGTCAGCACCGAAAAATTTACGGTAATTTATTTAGTGACGAGAGGAATTCTAACAACTTTGTTGCCTCGAAAGCTGCGTCCCTAATATCTTTACATGAAGAGCAGCCGAACTGGTTGTTTGTGTTGAGAATTGGCAGCGCAAGGGTGGAGAAAAGAGAGGGTGAGAACTATCTATCTATCTATCTATCTATCTATCTATCTATCTATCTATCTATCACTGTCTGCTCTTATCTATCTATCTGTCTATCGCAGTCTCTTCTCTATCTGGTTGTCTCTGTCTCTCTGTCTGTCTATCTATCACAGCCTCTGTTTGTTCTATCATCATCCTATCTAAATTTGTCTATCTATCTATCATTGTCTGTATCTATCTATCTATCTATCTCTCACTGTCTGTTCTTATCTATCTATCTATCTATTGTCTCTTCTTATCTATCTTATCTATCTATCTATCTATCTATCTATCTATCTATCTATCTATCTTTGTCACTGTTCTTATCTATCTATCTATCTTCTATCTGTTCATATCTATCTATCTATCTTTCACTGTTCATATCTATCTATCTATCTATCTATCTATCTATCTATCTATCTATCTATCTCAGTCTGTTCACTATTTACATAAATTTGTTCATACCTATCTATCTATCTATCTATCTATCTATCTATCTATCTATCTATCTATCACTGTCTGTTTTTACATATCCATCAAAACACACACACACACACACACATATATATATAGTTAGGGAGATAGGGTGAGTAAATAAATATAAAGCAAGATAAGAAAATAAATGTGAAAAGAGGGACGACTTTAGCCATAATAAAAATAAAGAAACTCGGAAACGGCTGAGAATAGATAATTGGGAAAGAGACTTTTTGTTAAGGATTTACTGAAAGTAAGTGAAAAGATAATCGGGAGAGACATAAAGAGGATATTGTAGAAAGAAAGGGAGTGAAGACAGAGTGAAAGTGGGGGGGGAGGCAGGCAGAGAAAGAGAGAGACCGAGAGAAAGCATCGGTTGGTGCGTGTGATAGTGATGTAAAGAGAGAAAGCCATATTGTGGAGAGATGTAAAAAGAAGAATCGAGGAGAATGTGGCCAAAAAAACAATGAGAGAGAGAGAGGGAGAGGGAGGGAGAGAGAGAAAGAGGGGGAAAGAGAGTAAGAGTAAATAAAAGGGATCGAAATAGTGATGCAAACGGAGAATAATAAGTGAAATAATGAAATCATATAGAGAGGAAGAGACAGACGAAGAAATATAAAGAATAAAGAGAAAGTAGAAAAGAGAGAGAGAGAGAGAGAGGGAATGCAGAGAGAAGTAGAAAAGAAGAAGAGACTATGATATCGGAAGGGATACTTGAGAATGAAATAAGAAAGACAGAAAGTGCAAAATAGAAGATAAAGGGAATAAAGAGAAAGAAGAAAGTGAGAAACAGAGAGAGAGAGAGAGAGAAAGATAGAATGTAGAAATAGGTATAAAAGAAGCGGTACTATGAAACAATAAGGAAGTAATAGTTGAGAGAAAAAGAAAGTAAAAAAGAATGTGATAGTGTCAGTCGAGAGAGAAAAAAAAAATTAAAAAAGAGAGAGAGAATTGTGATAGTGATATTTGAGAGAGAAAAGGAAAGTAAAAAAGAGAGAGACTGAATTGTGACAGTTGAGAGAGAAAAGGAAAGTAAAAAAGAGAGAGAGAGAATTGTGAGAGTGACAGTTGAGAGAGAGAAAAGGAAAGTAAAAAAGAGAGAGAGAGAATTGTGATAGTGACAGTTGAGAGAGAAAAGGAAAGTAAAAGAGAGAGAGAGAGAGAGAGAGAATTGTGATAGTGACATTTGAGAGAGAAAAGTAAAGTAAAAAAGGGAGAGAGAGAATTGTGATAGTGACATTTGAGAGAGAAAAGGAAAGTAAAAGAGAGAGAGAGAGACAGAGAGAGAGAGAATTGTGATAGTGACAGTTGAGAGAGAAAAGGAAAGTAAAAAAGAGAGAGAGAGAGAGAGAATTGTGATAGTGACATTTGAGAGAGAAAAGTAAAGTAAAAAAGGGAGAGAGAGAATTGTGATAGTGACAGTTGAAAGAGAAAAGGAAAGTAAAAAAGAGAGAGAGAGAGACAGAGAATTGTGATAGTGTCAGTTGAGAGAGAAAAAGAAATTAAAAAAGAGAGGCAGAGAATTGTGATAATGACAGTTGAGAGAGAAAAGTAAAGTAAAAAAGGGAGAGAGAGAATTGTGATAGTGACATTTGAGAGAGAAAAGGAAAGTAAAAGAGAGAGAGAGAGAGAATTGTGATAGTGACAGTTGAGAGAGAAAAAGAAATTAAAAGAGAGAGAGAGAGAGAGAATTGTGGCAGTGACAGTTGAGAGAGAAAAGGAAAGTAAAAAAAAGAGAGAGAGAGAATTGTGATAGTGACAGTTGAGAGAGAAAAGGAAAGTAAAAAAGAGAGAGAGAATTGTGATAGTGACAGTTGAGAGAGAAAAGGAAAGTAAAAAAGAGAGAGAGACAGAGAGAGAATTGTGATAGTGTCAGTTGAGAAAGAAAAAGAAATTAAAAGAGAGAGAGAGAGAGAGAATTGTGATAGTGACAGTTCAGAGAGAAACGGAGAGTAAAAAAGGGAGAGAGAGAATTGTAAGAGTGACATTTGGGAGAGAAAAGAAAAGTAAAAAAAGCGAGAGAGAGAATTGTGATAGTGAAAGTTGAGAGAGAAAAAGAAAGTAAAAAAGAGAGGCAGAGAATTGTGATAATGACAGTTGAGAGAGAAAAGGAAAGTAAAAAGAGAGAGAGAGAATTGTGAAAGTGACAGTTGAGAGAGAAAAAAGAAAGTAAAAAAGAAAACTAATGAGGAATCGTAAACGATACAGAGATGTCAAGTAAGAGAGACAGTAGGCGATATAGATAGAGAAAATAAAGAGAAAAATAGTGAGAGAGAGAGAGAGAGAGAGAGAGATTATGCCTTGGGGATAGATCATGGCAAAGGAAAGGGTGCAATCGTTTTGTATAAACAACTCAACGGAAGACTTCAACTCTGTGGGGATTTGAACGCGAAACCCACTTAATCATATAATTAACTCCACAGACAGTTGTAAATATAGACAACAATGTAACCAGGGAACACGACTCGTCTTTCAAAGACGGCCTTTCATCATCGTGCCAAGAAAAATAAGTAAATATAATAAAATAAAAGCTAAAAAGAAAACGATGCTAAGTCAATCAAAAAGGCAAATGGAGGTAATTGGAAATGTTTCACAAAATGAAGATTGCAGCCCAACTTAAAGAGGCCAGGTACATACGGGAATATTCAAGCGTATGTTGTGTTCAGCAGGGAAGATTTTACAAGTTACCGTTAGGACCACAGTGCATACTGGGTGGTAAAAAGCTTCAGAAACCACACCACACCACATCGAAATAGAAGTGCTAATGGCTTGTTTGCGAGTCATTAATATTTTTATTACATAAACACATGATCTTTGTATGTGGTATTTTTATGATATTTACCAAGTTCAGCTTTGTACGGACAAAAGCCAAAAGAATTTAAAAGCAAAAGAAAGGGGTAATTGTGGTCATCAAAACAAATCGGAAAGACCTGTCCGCTTGGCATGACGTTTGGTGTTTGAAACTCTTTATTGAATATATTTTGAACACTGCTTTCTTGAACATAGTTTGAAACTTTCTTTTTAGAACAAAGCTGGAACTATTCTTTTTAACATGGGTTAAATTTCCCTTTCTTGAACACAGTTTGAACCTTCCTTTAGTGATCATATTTTGAACATTGCTTTCTTGAACAGAGTTTGAAACTTTCTTTTTAGAACAAAGGTGGAACTATTCTTTTTAACATGGGTTAAATTTCCCTTTCTTGAACACAGTTTGAACCTTCCTTTAGTGATCATATTTTGAACATTGCTTTCTTGAACAGAGTTTGAAACTTTCTTTTTTGAACAAAGCTGGAACTATTCTTTTTAACATGGCTTAAATTTCCCTTTCTTGAACACAGTTTGAACCTTCCTCTAGTGATCATATTTTGAACATTGCTCTCTTGAACAGAATTTGAAACTTTCTTTTTAGAACAAAGCTGGAAGTATTCTTTTTAACATGGGTTAAATTTCCCTTTCTTGAACACAGTTTGAACCTTCCTTTAGTGATCATATTTTGAACATTGCTCTCTTGAACAAAGTTTGAAACTTTCTTTTTAGAACAAAGCTGGAACTATTCTTTTTAACATGGGTTAAATTTCCCTTTCTTGAACACAGTTTGAACCTTCCTTTAGTGATCATATTTTGAACATTGCTCTCTTGAACAGAGTTTGAAACTTTCTTTTTAGAACCAAGCTGGAACTATTCTTTTTAACATGGGTTAAATTTCCCTTTCTTGAACACAGTTTGAACCTTCCTTTAGTGATCATATTTTGAACATTGCTCTCTTGAACAGAGTTTGAAACTTTCTTTTTAGAACAAAGCTGGAACTATTCTTTTTAACATGGGTTAAATTTCCCTTTCTTGAACACAGTTTGAACCTTCCTTTAGTGATCATATTTTGAACATTGCTTTCTTGAACAGAGTTTGAAACTTTCTTTTTAGAACAAAGCTGGAACTATTCTTTTTAACACGGGTTAAATTTCCCTTTCTTGAACACAGTTTGAACCTTCCTTTAGTGATCATATTTTGAACATTGCTTTCTTGAACATAGTTTGAAACTTTCTTTTTTGAACAAAGCTGGAACTATTCTTTTTAACACGGGTTAAATTTCCCTTTCTTGAACACAGTTTGAACCTTCCTTTAGTGATCATATTTTGAACATTGCTCTCTTGAACAGAGTTTGAAACTTTCTTTTTTAGAACAAAGCTGAACTATTCTTTTTAACATGGGTTAAATTTCCCTTTCTTGAACACAGTTTGAACCTTCCTTTAGTGATCATATTTTGAACATTGCTTTCTTGAACAGAGTATGAAACTTTCTTTTTAGAACAAAGCTGGAACTATTCTTTTTAACATGGGTTAAATTTCCTTTCTTGAACACAGTTTGAACCTTCCTTTAGTGATCATATTTTGAACATTGCTTTCTTGAACAGAGTTTGAAACTTTCTTTTTTTAAAAAAAGCTGGATCTATTCTTTTAACATGGGTTAAATTTCCCTTTCTTGAACACAGTTTGAACCTTCCTTTAGTGATCATATTTTGAACATTGCTTTCTTGAACAGAGTTTGAAACTTTCTTTTTTGAACAAAGCTGGAACTATTCTTTTTAACATGGCTTAAATTTCCCTTTCTTGAACACAGTTTGAACCTTCCTTTAGTGATCATATTTTGAACATTGCTTTCTTGAACAGAGTTTGAAACTTTCTTTTTAGAACAAAGCTGGAACTATTCTTTTTAACATAAGTTAAATTTCCCTTTCTTGAACACAGTTTGAACCTTCCTTTAGTGATCATATTTTGAAACTTTCTTTCTTGAAAATATTTTTTCTTTAGAATATGCTGAACCCTTCTTACTCGATTGTATTTTGAACTTTTTTCTGGAACATAGTTCGAACAATTCTTGAAAATATTTAAACATTTATATCGCGAGCAGATTATAACAATTTCTTAAACATATTTCGAAACTTTTTCTTAAACACATTATGCTTGAACATAAAGTCAATTTTTCTTACTTATGTTGAACCTAAAATTCTGGCACATAGTTTAAAATTTTATTTCTTGTGTTTATTTCAAAACATTTCATTTTTGAATATAGTTTGAACCCTTCTCTCCTGAACATATTTTGAACATTTTTTTAAAATTCTTTCTAGAAAATAATTTGAATCTTTCTTTTTTTTAACACAGTTTGAACCTATCTTTGAACATATTTTGAACCATTCTTGCCTGAACTTAGTTTGAACCTTTCTTCCTTGAGGATAGTTTGAACCTATCTTTAGCAGATTTTGAAATTCTGTTTATTTTTTTAACATATACTGAACATTTCCTTCTTGAACATAGATTGAATTTATGTTGATTGGACATTATTTGAACCTTTTTTTCAGGATATTTTGAACCATGGTTCCTTGAGCATAGTTTAAACTTTTTTCCTCGAACATATTCGGACATTTCTTTATTGAACATACTTGAACCTTTCTCTCGTGAACATAGTTTTTAACTTTCTTGAACCTACTCTGATTCATTCTTGAGCATACTTTAATTGTCATCTATATTTATAATTCTCAAAATGTGTATGTATGTATGTGTGTGATCGGATGTTGTTTATGCATTTCCACAGTTTTCATCCAATTTCGATGGAATTTCTTTTGTTTGATAGATAATTCTTCAGTGCCAGCTTTGAGTCCAAATTGGCTGGAGAAAATTACAACTTTGAAGGTGAAAAATCGCAAAAACTGATTTTTACACTTTGGGTAAAAATCGAAGGCAAAATTTAATGTCTGTAAAAAACAGCGTACAATCAATTTAGAGAATTGAAATCTAGCGCAAAAAGATTATTACAATTATAAAAAAAAACAATTATAAAAAAAATTATCATATATTATTTTTATGACGGTCCATAAAAGAGGTTCCTTCCGTGCAAGATTGAGAACGCAAAAACGGACCTTTTCAGATCCCCCCATTCAAATTGTTACCCCCTTCCATTTGGGGATGCGCCTCAGTTGCACCCGATTTTTGTTACTAATATTGATTTTCGGGTGGGATGACTTTAAAATTAAACTGCTCCAATTGAACGGCAAAAATTCCCAGTAATGAAAGACCCGGTCGAAGACGGGTCATACTGCTAATACTTGAATCTAATTTAAATTTTCTTGCATATAATTTGAACCTTTCTTTCATGAATAAAGTTCCTATCATTCCCGAATATTGTTTGAACGTTATTTTCTTGAAGATATTTTGAATTTTCCTTTCTTGAAAATGTTTCGAACTTTTCTTTTTTCTTGAATTTGAAACATCCTTGCTTAAAAATATTTTGAGCTTTATTTCGTTGAACATATTATGCAATGTTCTTTTTTGGGCCTCTTTAGTTTGAACCTCTTGTGCATATTTAAAATTTTTCTTTTTGAGAATATTTGAAATTCTTATTTCTTGAACACATTTTGAATATTTCTTTCTTGACCATAGTGTTACCTTTGCATTCTTTAACATATTTCGAACGTTTCCATGTTGAAAATAGTTTGTAGTTTCTTGAATCGAGATTGAATCATTCTTAAAAAAAACAAAAAAAAAAAAACAACATTTTAACTGTTCCTATTAAACGTCGTTTGAACCGTTTTTCCTGAAAGTAATTTGAACGATTCTTGGACATAATCTGAACCCTTCTTACTTGAATATATTTTTTATTATTCTAACGTAAATTGTACTTAACTTTCTTGAACATAGTTTGAACATTTCTTCCTTTTTTCCTAGACTGAACCTGGCTTTCTTAAATATACTCAGTGCGATGGATAAATTGTCGTCTACATTACGTAAAAAATGAAAAAAAAAAAAACACTGACGGCATATCATTTTAACGGATATATTTACCAAAATACACAAAAATATCTTGAAATATTAAAGAGTAAATTTATTCAATAAAATCACCATTGGCTTCAACGATGGTCTCCAGACGACTTCGGAATCTCCTGCAACTCTTCTGGATGGTCGCCTTGTTTAAGTTGGTGAATGCTGCCATAATCCTTGTCTTCAGTTCATCTTTGGTATTAAAAGGAGTTTTGTTGGTCTCTCACCCAACTACACCCCACACATAATAATCCAGATGGGGTGAAGTTCGTGGAGTTAAGTGGCCAGATGTAAGGGTGATGTGGTCGCAGAAATTGTCTGACGGCCATGACTGGGTTCTCCTGCTTGTGCAGAATCCTGTTACCAAATATAGGGTCTTCCAGTAGACCACCCTTTTGACGCTGGGCAGCATTATCTCCTCAAGGCACTTGATATAGGCCTACGTATTGAGTCCGAGGCTCTCACCAACAAATTCGGGAGTTCTTTTCGTATCAGAACGTTCAG